GCCATATTGATTTGTATGCTGTTGGTGGATTATTGTCACTGTCCTGTTGGGCTGTGTATGTGATAAAGGGGAGCCATACCGGGGTGAAGGCGTCTTCTTCTGTTTGTCCCCGTGTCAATTTCAGTTTGTTAGTTAATTTTTCTAGTAGGGCTGTTTCCCATACTATTTGGTACCATTGGTCCATGCTTACTCCTGACAGGTCTCTCCAGTGTCTGGTTATGATGTTTCTGGCTGCTGAGAGCAGGTGGGTTATGAGTTCTTTGTGGTGTAAATGGGCATTGTTGTCTTGGAAGATGTTTAGTAGGGCCAATTCTGGGGTGATGTCTATTACTTGCATAGTCATTTTACATATTTATTGTATGGCTGTTGTCCAGAATAGTTGGACTTTGGGACACTCCCACCACATGTGGAGGTATGTGCCTGTGGAGGTGCACCCTCTCCAGCATTTTGGTGAGGTTCCTGGGTGTATTAGCGCTAGTTTTTTATTTTATAGTAGAGTTATGGATCAATGGTCTCATTAGATAACAAAATTTATGTTAAATTGCTGTTTTAGGGGTTGTTTTCAAAAGTCTGGAACAGATTAATCTGTTTTGCATTACTTTCTATGGGAAACGCTTTGCTTTGGAACGGACTTCAGGAATGGATTAAGTTTGAGAACCAAACTACCACTGTATATATTAAGCAATTGATGCAGGATTTGAACCCAGGTTCAAGGACAACTGAAAGGTAACTGTGATATAAATGATGGAACAAACAGATGTTTGTAAATGTGTGCCTAAGCACAATTTGGCTATATACTGAATTCTTTACTCCTGGTGAAAATAATTAAATGCTGATGTTGTTGCTTTTCAAAAGGCCATGCGCCTCTTCCCTTTGATGCTCAGCACCATCAGGGCAGTCTATGCTGTGAGGAGCTGGGAGCTTTCCTGGGGAGAGGACAGATCTTCCTTGCTTGGCTGCTCTTTGCCCCCCAGAGCTGAGTGCCCCTTCCCTGCCCCACCTCCCTCTGCTCCTGCCAGGGCCGCATCCAGAAGCGCAGGAGAGAGGAGGAGAGACCAGGAGTCTGTGTCCTGGCAAGAGAACTTGGAAGTGAGGCATCAAGGGGTCTCCTGGGGGCACAGGGGAAAGAAGGGGGCACAGCATGTCTGCCAGTATCTCAGCCAAAGGCAGCCTGGGGAGCCGGACATTCAGACAGAGCAGTTTCCCCACAGCTCACTTTTCAGAGGGGGCACTTGGACTGGATTCATCATCAAAGATCTGGGGTGGTATCTAATGCAACCCCTACTCAGAGTAGACCCACTGAAGTGATTTGGCCTTTCTGTTTTTAATGCACTGATTTCAGTGGGTCTACTCTAAATATAACAGTATTGGATGCAACCCTGTGTGTACTAAAAATGTCAAACACTTGCCCTAGCTCTCACTTTCAATAAATACTGAATTTTTGGCACCTGCTAAAAAAATTCTGTTTAGAAAAACCTACCCAGCTCCTTAGAAGGTTGAGGTAATTCTAATCTGTTTTAGTAGTTTAACTTCCCTAAAGTATGGTTATGAGTTTTCCTTAATTTTCTCAATTTCACTGGTTATTGGGGGGTTTTCCTTTACAGTCCAAAAGTATATGTATTTTATTAACTAAATAAATAAATAAATAAATAGTGTTTATTGATGTTTTATGTACAGTCTATGGATTTTCCCCCCTGATTTTTATTTTAACTTTCCAGGTTGTATACTATCTTGATATGGTTTTGTGGGAAATACGTACTGTAAATACTTTAATAAAACCTTCAGTCGATTGATAATAGAAGAAGAGCTGGTTTACATTAGCTAGTTGATGTCCACCTAATAAATCCTTCATCAAAGAGGGCATGATCCTTATCTCTGCTACTCTTCATGCTGCACCTCCAGTGTCCCATTTTACAGATCCACAACGTTAATGCTCGTGGCTTTTAAATGTGCTCTTCAATTTCAGTATCTGAAGCATTGATGTGGTGTTTTCACTTGGCAGGTGGCATCACCCGGCACCCGCTGAGACCCCAGACCCCTGGCAGGGCCCACGGGTGCTGAGGACCCCAGCCCTGTCTCCTCTAGGCCAGCCAGCAGGGTCAGCAGACAGCCATTTTGATTTCCCACAACAAAACCATGGAGAGAAGCTACGTCTGGCACCCCAAGACAGGATGGGAAATGGCAATGGTTGCTCCTGGCCATGCACAGAGTTCTGCTGCTCTTTATGTAGCCTGAGGGAGCTCAGCAATGGAGGAGAGGCTGTCCCAGAAGACACCAGGTTGCTCTCACCTCTGATTTAGGCTTCCGCTTTCATCTCAGGTGAATTGAGTTTGGGTATAGAATGTATTGCATTACAGAAGCCTCTCTCAACAGAAATCCTGCTTTCCTGGGCTGGATTCAGCTAACACAGCTTGTCTAAAAACCAAGCCCAACTGGGGCTTTCTCCCCATCTCCTTCCCGTGTGCTCCCCACAAATCAGCTTGGGGGGGTCAGGAGAAGCCCCAGAAAGATGTGCAGGGGTGGGGGAGAAGGGAGATTGCTCCCTCTGGCAAGTAGAAGGATTGTAACAGAGCTACTACTTTGGAGTCCTGCCTCTAGAACTACTCAATGTATTTAATAATAATAATAAATAAATAAATAGTATCTTCTACAATGCCACGTCCCAAGGTGATATTTTTAAAAGGGGGAGAAGCGGAATCCCAGGAGCCCACGAGGAAGCCTGCAAGGCAAGGCCAGGCCTGATCCCACTGCAAGAAAAGCAGACCTGCCCATTGCAGCGCTGGCTTGGTCTCAGCTGACCCCCTGGGTTTCTTCCTTGCAAGCCTGACAAGGCCAACGAAGGCCCCAGAGGGCTCTGGACACACTCAGGCTGACCCCTTTGGCAAGGCTCCTTCCACCTCCAGTATTCTGTCTCACAGGTGGGGAATCTCTTTGGCTTCAGGGCCAGATCCTGATCAGGATTGTCCCCAGGGGCCAAAAGGGGCAGGAGGCTGAAGCTGACATCACAGCATAGCCCACCCGTCAATCTCACCCACCTTCCAAAAGCCCTTGAGAGGGTTTCCAAGCACCCACCAGGGGCGCAGCCTCTTGGGAACTGCAGCACAAGGGGCACGGCCTGCCTTGCACTCAGCACTTGGGGAAGCTGGCAAACTGCTTCTTTCTCATCTCCAGGGGAAGCCCTTCATTCAGGAGCAAATCCCCTCCTGAATCCGGAACATGGCGTCCTGCCAAACTGAGCAGGATTTTACTTCTGCTCATGGGGCAAATCCTACCCCCTGGCAGGCCAAGACTGGCCCACAGCCACAGGTTTCCCACCCCCGTTCTGTGCGGACATTATTGCTTCCCACTTGGGTCCCTGCAACATGGAATAGTGGCTTCAGCTGCATGGAGACTAGACGTGTCTGTTCCAGGAAACAGAAATCTTTGAGTCCATTCCCTCTGTCCCTGCCTTCCTTTCCTATTAATGGGAAGAGCTGCTCAACGGCGGAAAGGGCTCCCTTGGGAAGTGGTGGACTCTCCTTCCTTGGAGGTTTTTAAGCAGAGCCTGAGTGGTCAACTGTCATGGATGCTTTAGCTGAGATTCCTGCACTGCAGGGGGTTGGGCTAGATGACCCCTGGGTTCCCTTCCGACTCTACGATCCGATGATTTTTTGAACTATTATAGAATTTCTCCAGCTAATCATTGTCATGTATTGTTACACCACTAGATAAAAAACACTTCTCTGAAAAGAACCTTTCTATTGATAGGAAGAGAAAACTTTAGATGAGAATTGGGTCTTCAAAATGTTGAGGGTCTGATGTAGAGCTAAATTAAGAATTATCCTCAGAGCACATTCAATGCCAACTTCTCCAAGACTGCATTTCAGCGAGCAGAGAAAACAGGACTCTTGAAGCACCCTCTCTGGGCGTTACACGTGTGTAGGGGGCAAGTGATGTGAATGATCTCCCCCCAGACCCAGCAGAGGCTCCCACTTCTGAGGTTCTGCTCCAAGATTGCAATTGGAGGGGGAGTCACTCAACTTTGGAGCTGAACACATATGCCTCCCCCCACCCTTCCCGCATGCTGGCTCCTTTCACACAACTAACGTCTTAAAAGAATTTTGACAATTCAGAAGAAAGTTTTAAAAACAAAAATGTGTGCCAAAAGGCTTTTGCCGGATGTCTACCAGCTTTTACTAAGTTTAAACGGTTCCTATTGTAAGAGTTCCAAGGCTGGATGAGGAAGGGGGAGGAGTGTGGCAGAGATCGTCATAACTGGACAAAGGGGGTGAAAGACCTTTCTAAAGGGTCCTGCTATTCTTCCCTAAGTGTAGACCATTAGAGAATAAAGTAAGTACTGGAGGAGTGGGGGCCTTGGGGGCTCTTGTCCACCCCCCACTTCAGCTGCCCACCATGCCTATTATTTTAACCAGGTATTTGCCACTCTGACCCCCCCATAACCCAGTCCATTTGTGCTCCTTAAAAAGGCTTCTCTTTCAACACTGTGCCAGGGAGTGGGAGGGGCTTGGTGATGGTCAGAAGGGTCAGCCAATCAGCACCTCTGTCTGGGCAGCTGGCTTCTCCTTAAGCAGGACCAGAAATCAAGGCTTGCTTGTCTCAGCCTCAGGATACCCACCCTTCTCTCCCCCCCCCCCCAGAGGAAAATGAACTAGACAGATTTCCACCTCAGAAGGCCTAAGCCAAGCCTAGCATGGAAGGAAGGGCAGGCAATGGAGACATTTCCTTGGTAGGATGTGCAGGTCCAGAGAGGGTCACACTGGGGGGGGTGTCCTCTGCCCTCCAATTCTCATTCTCTGTCCCCCCCCCACCCCACACCATCCCAGCCCCCATTAAGACCTTCATTAAGGGAAGGGGAGATGCCTCTGCCCTGGTGGAGACCCCCACCCTCCATTTCCTTTCCTCCCAGCAGCCCCCTCCCTGCAATTCTTGCCCTTGGAGGAAACATTATCGGGGGGGGGGGGGGAGTGTGTGACTCTGTTTCTCTCCTGCCTTCCACTCACCTCCGCTCTGGTTGTAGCGATTCCACAGATTCTGCAGATTCCTCCTGTACCACAGCTCATGCCCCTGAGCTTTCTGAGTCTGCGTGTGCCAGTACTGAGGATCCTCCTTTTCCACCTTCCTCATCCAGGGGATGCGAGGCAGCATCTCCTTGCTGTCGCTGTCGTACTGAACAAATTGCTGGTCATCCACGTACCCCACAGAAATGAACTGGGGCAGCCCCCGGCCAGGCTCAGACACGGCTGTGTAGAAGTAGCGCAGGGAGTGAGAAGTGGAGCCTGGAAAGGAAAAGAGAGAGGCAGAGAGTTAGGGGTCCTGCAGAGGAAGGCAGCAGCCTAATCCTGCTGTATTGCAGGCAGCAGCCCCAAATTAGGAGATCCAAACTTCAGCTGGGTTTGGGGGAGTTTGTAGACCTGCCTTTAAACAGAGAGGAGGCAGAGCAGAGGAAGCCTAAGAATCATAGAGTTGGGAGAGGAAAAGACAGGATATAAATACAAGTAACAACAACAGTAGCCCATGGAGCAGAGGGCGAGAAAAAGCTCTGCCAGGTAGCACTAAATCTCTGCATGTCTCTGCTGAGGCTCTGTGTGAGATAGAGAGAGGCCAGCCCCTCCCCTTTTGCCAAGGGGGCAGGAATTGCCCCCCACTTGCAAGCGCCAGGCTGATGAGAGCTCCCACAACATGGTCTGAAGGCTCAGGATGCAGGCACGGAGCGGAAGCTAAGCAGGCTCAGGTCTGGTACATGGATGGAGGGGAGACCAGACGAAGCAAAATCCATATATTGGGAGAACAGCAAGCTGCCTCCTCCTGGGTCAGAACACTGGTCCAGGTAGCTCAGAGTTGTCTGCCCTGACTGGGGGTGGCTCCCCAGGGACTCAGGAAGGGCTCCCCCCCCCTCGAGATGTCAAGTGCTGCCCCTCTCCCCTATGTCCCCCCCTCTCATGTGCTGCCTTGAATTACATGGAGGAAGAGAAGTGGAATATTAAATATGAAAAAAAAATATCTCACAGACTTACTGTAATGTACACCAAGAAGAGCTTGCAGGATCTGACCAATGGCCCGTCTGGTTCAGCATCCCATTCATCTGGGAGGCCACTGTGAGAAAGGGGTGCTGGACTAGGCTGGCCCCTGGCCTGAGGCAGGCTGTTCTTCTTTTCTGGGAGTGGCTAATATATGCAGAAACATGCACAGTTCAGCCACTCCCTTGGAGCCGCCCCACCACCTGACCTTCTGGAGCCATGCACTGAACAGGTCTGGCCTGGGTCTTGCTTCCTGGGCTCTGGGAGGCTTTGGAAAGATCTCCTGGGAACTCAGGACAGCCCCATAAGATCCTGTGAGAACCTTGCACAAAAAGAGCTCTCTGCCTTCTGCATATATGATTGGTCTGATTCCAACAGGCCAGCTGTCAACAGCCTGAAACTGAAACCATTCAAGTTAAATGCATTCAAGTTGGGAGTTTCCACCAGTTTTCCAGGGACAGATGTCAAGTTAATTGGGCTGTGATTCCCAGGATCCTTCCTGGATCCCCTTTTGATAATTGATGCTTAAATGGTTCAGTGTAGCAATCTTTCAATCTTGTGCTTTGAGCTGCCACCCACAGAGAGGGTTCCCCACTTGAGAAAGAAGGCCCCCTAGTGATAGCAGGGGCAGGAGGGCAAATGCAACTTTGGGGTCAGGTCTCAACATGTGGCTCCACATCCCCTTTCCCCACCCTTGCCCCTTCAAGAGATTGAACACAGGAAGGGGGCAGAGCGTGGCAAAGGAAGACCCTTATCCCCCAAAGGGCTCACTTTCCCACAGGCTGTACCAGCTCTGGCCACCAGGGGGCCTAATGAGTCTCCACAGGAACAACTGACAAAGACTTGGGGAGAGGATGGAGGGGAGGCAGGGAGCTGAGCAGAGGCTTCAGCATCATATCCAGAGCTGGCCTGCCCAGGAGGCAGCCCCACAGCAACACACACACACACACCCGGACGGAGAGAAGCCGAGTTGAGTTCAGTGAGAGATGGGGCATTTCCATGGCAGAAATGGGGGGGGGGGCACAGTGCTAAGGGGGGAAGTGCAATTCCTCTTTGTTTCAAGTAGCAAAATGGGACGTATTATTATCATAATCATTATTATTATTTATATATCACCCTATACCCGGAAATCTCAGGGTAGTTCGCAGAACAAAATCTAAAACCACAAAATATTCAATCAAAATAAAAACAACCCAATAACACCCCCCCCAAAACCCCCACATTTTTAAAGGGCATAGGGTGTCGATCAAATCAACCAAAGGCCTGGTTAAAAAAGAACGTTTTTGCCTGGCGCCTAAAGGTGTATAATGAACAAGAGGGAGACAGATTGAAATTGCAGAGTTTTGAAAAACTAAAAAATAAAGTGCGAGATTGGCTTCATTATTATCAGATAATGGAGGCATATAATTTGGACAAGAAAATTGGCTTCCAGGTGGAAAAATCAAAATTGGAAACAGAACTTTTAGAACCCAAAACCAAGATTTTGTCAAAGATGTATAACTTGCTGTTGAAATGGAATACTCAGGATGAAACGGTGAAATCTGCTATGATTAAATGGGCACAAGATGTTGGACATAACATAATGATGGCTGACTGGGAACAGTTATGGACCACAGGTATGAAGTTTACGGCATGTAATGCCTTAAGAGAGAATATTATGAAAATGATTTACAGGTGGTACATGACACCAGTCAAGCTTGCAAAAATCTATCATTTGCCCGATAATAAATGTTGGAAATGTAAAGAAACTGAAGGTACATTCTTTCACCTTTGGTGGACGTGCCCAAGGATTAAGGCTTTCTGGGAGATGATTTATAATGAAATGAAAAGGGTATTTAAATATACCTTTCTGAAGAAACCAGAGGCCTTTCTCCTGGGCATGGTTGGCCAATTGGTGCTAAAGAAGGATAGAACTTTCTTTATGTATGCTACAACAGCAGCAAGAATACTTATTGCAAAGTATTGGAAGACACAAGATTTACCCACTCTGGAAGAATGGCAGATGAAGGTGATGGACTATATGTAACTGGCGGAAATGACTGGCAGAATCCGAGACCAGGGAGAAGAGTCGGTGGAAGAAGATTGGAAGAAATTTAAAGACTATTTACAGAAATACTGCAAAATTAATGAATGTTAGAATGATGTTGGATTGAAGTTAAGTGGTTTTTAGCAGCAATGTTAAAAGGAATATGTAAAAATGGATTGTTAACAGGTGATAATTTAAAGTTATTATATTTTAAGATAAGAGATTAAGATAAAATCAAAGAGGGAAAGGATTTGCTGAACTAACTAATTTGAACTGGAATACAAAAAGGGAGGTGTGAGGAGGTCGGGGAAACAAGCAAATGAAAGATAAGACATGGAAAGACTAATCTGTTTTTTAATTGTTTTTATCTTGTATTTTCATTTTTTATTTTTTCCTCTTTATTTCTTCTTTCTTTTTTTGCTTATTTTTGTAATATGTTGAAACTTTAATAAATATATTTTTTTTAAAAAATGAAGGCACCAGGTGAACTTCCCTGGGAAGAGCATCCCACAGAGGGGGAGCCACTGCAGAGAAGGCCCTGTTCTCTAGATCTCTGGAGGAGGAGGCAGCGCACACAAAAAAGGGCTTCAGCACCCCCAGACCCAGCTAACCCCCCCCCCACTGTTCCAGGTGCCAGGGCAGGTAGCTCTGCCCCTGCCTTGATGGTGTGTCGACTCTGCTACCTCCCTCCCGCTCAGTTTCCTTTCAGGCAAGATCAAATTTGGAGAATTTGGACCAAATGATTCAGCAGAGGAAACACAGCCCAGAATAACTAAGGAGATAGTACAAGAATACTTGGCTAGTTTAGATGTATTCAAGTCTCCAGGGCCAGATGAACTGTATCCAAGAGTATTAAAAGAACTGGCAGATGTGATCTCAGAACCACTGGCAGTCATCTTTGAGAATTCCTGGAGAACAGGCGAAGTCCCGGCAGACTGGAGGAGGGCAAATGTTGTCCCTATTTTCAAAAAGGGGAAAAGAGAGGACCCAAATAATTACCGCCCAGTCAGTCTGACATCAATACCAGGGAAGATTCTGGAGCAGATCATTAAGCAAACAGTCTGTGAGCACCTAGAAAGGAATGCTGTGATCACCAATAGTCAGCATGGATTTCTGAAAAATAAGTCATGTCAGACTAACCTGATCTCGTTTTTTGACAGAATTACAAGCCTGGTAGATGAAGGGAACACAGTGGATGTAGCCTACCTTGATTTCAGCAAGGCATTTGACAAGGTGCCCCATGATATTCTTGTAAAGAAGCTGGTAAAATGCGGTCTTGACTATGCTACCACTCAGTGGATTTGTAACTGGCTGACTGACCGAACCCAAAGGTTCCTCTTCATCCTGGAGAAGAGTGACTAGTGGGGTGCCACAGGGTTCTGTCTTGGGCCCGGTCTTATTCAACATCTTTATCAACGACTTGGATGATGGACTCAAGGGCATCCTGATCAAATTTGCAGATGATACCAAACTGGGAGGGGTGGCTAACACCCCAGAGGACAGGATCACACTTCAAAACGACCTTGACAGATTAGAGAACTGGGCCAAAACAAACAAGATGAACTTTAACAGGGAGAAATGTAAAGTATTGCACTTGGGCAAAAAAAATGAGAGGCACAAATACAAGATGGGTGACACCTGGCTTGAGAGCAGTACATGTGAAAAGGATCTAGGAGTCTTGGTTGACCACAAACTTGACATGAGCCAACAGTGTGACACGGCAGCTAAAAACGCCAATGCAATTCTGGGCTGCATCAATAGGAGTATAGCATCTAGATCAAGGGAAGTAATAGTGCCACTGTATTCTGCTCTGGTCAGACCTCACCTGGAGTACTGTGTCCAGTTCTGGGCACCACAGTTCAAGAAGGACACGGACAAACTGGAACGTGTCCAGAGGAGGGCAACCAAAATGGTCAAAGGCCTGGAAATGATGCCTTATGAGGAACGGCTAAGGGAGCTGGGCATGTTTAGCCTGGAGAAGAGGAGATTAAAGGGTGATATGATAGCCATGTTCAAATATATAAAAGGATGTCACATAGAGGAGGGAGAAAGCTTGTTTTCTGCTGCTCCAGAGAAGCGGACACGGAGCAATGGATCCAAACTACAAGAAAGAAGATTCCACCTAAACATTCGGAAGAACTTCCTGACAGTAAGAGCTGTTCGACAGTGGAATTTGCTGCCAAGGAGTGTGGTGGAGTCTCCTTCTTTGGAGGTCTTTAAGCAGAGGCTTGACAACCATATGTCAGGAGTGCTCTGATGGTGTTTCCTGCTTGGCAGGGGGTTGGACTCGATGACCCTTGTGGTCTCTTCCAACTCTATGATTCTATGATTCTATGAAATGGGACCCACCTCTAAGACACCCCCTGTGGTGTTTGCCCTCCTAGGTGACATCCTGCTGCGTCATAGGGAAAGGGTTAAATGAGTGTGAAGTCACCAGTGGGAACCCAAGGGGAGGAGTTGGAGTTGTTGAGAAGTCAGTCGGGAGTTAGAGAAGGAAGAGGAAGGCTAAGTCTGTGGGTTGGGCTAGTTTGATGTGAGAGAGTGAGAGAATCTGTTGAGAGAAGTCAGTTAAACAGTTAGGATAATCAGTTAGAAGGTATTAGGAAGGTATAGGTCAGAAAAGAAAATAAGATTAAGAAACTGACAAGAAAAATTATCTGAAACCATAAACTTGTTAACGCTTATAAAATAAACTTGCTTATTTGATTTAATGTTAACAACTGTCTGGACTCCGTGTGTACCCGAGAGAAACGGGTTGGTGGCAGTGGGGAAGCTATCATAGTGGTGGCACAGGGATCAATAGACGGTCAAACATCCGGGGGCCCTGTGTGATCGCCACACCCCCTGCTAGGACGAGGGCTTCCCCCACTTCAAACCACAAGAGCTCAGAGCAAGGCTGCCTCTGGTTGTGGCATCTGGCTAAACAACACAGGCAGTTCTGCTCAGTGGTTGGGAGATAAAGAGCCACAAAATGAGTCACACGTGAGACCCCAAAGTGAGAAGTAATCTGAAGGAACCAGCGGTCTCCACCACCCTTTGCCCAGCCCTGTAGCACAGTGAGGGGGCAGCCCCCCATATCAAGAGGGTTCAAGAGAGAAATAACAGGCCTTACTCTTTAGTTCTTAAAGCTTAAAGTTACTGTGAGAATTTGTTGTTGTTGTTGTTTAGTCGTTTAGTCGTGTCCGACTCTTCGTGACCCCATGGACCAGAGCACGCCAGGCACTCCTGTCTTCCACTGCTTCCCGCAGTTTGGTCAAACTCATGCTGGTAGCTTCGAGAACACTGTCCAACCATCTCATCCTCTGTCGTCTCCTTCTCCTTGTGCCCTCCATCTTTCCCAGCATCAGGGTCTTTTCCAGGGAGTTTTCTCTTCTCATGAGGTGGCCAAAGTATTGGAGCCTGAGCTTCACGATCTGTCCTTCCAGTGAGCACTCAGGGCTGATTTCCTTAAGAATGGATAGGTTTGATCTTCTTGCAGTCCATGGGACTCTCAAGAGTCTCCTCCAGCACCATAACTCAAAAGCATCAATTCTTTGGCGATCAGCCTTCTTTATGGTCCAGCTCTCAGACATCACTACTGGGAAAACCCTAGCTTTAACTATACAGACCTTTGTTGGCAAGGTGATGTCTCTGTTTTTTAGGATGATGTCTAGGTTTGTCATTGCTTTTCTCCCAAGGAGCAGGCGTCTTTTAATTTCGTGGCTGCTGTCACCATCTGCAGTGATCATGGAGCCCAAGAAAGTAAAATCTCTCACTGCCTCCATTTCTTGCCCTTCTATTTGCCAGGAGAATTTGTATGCACAAGCAACTATTAAACTAATGCTAGTATTATATTCATACCATTTTCCATTAGAGAAGCACAAAAGCTATTTACTATAAAAGCAAACAATATTTTTTTGTGGGGGGGGGAATCACAAACATAAGAAAATAACCAACCAACCCAAACTAGATACAGTAATCATATTCTTCTATAGATAGGATCCGAATGCAAAACAAATCTTATCTCCCTCATCTCATAAACAGCAGGGGTCAAGGAGAATTCAAAAATAATCTCAACACCCTATTCCCCCTTCCCACTCAGAAAAATGCCCTGCTGCTATCTCCAGATCTTTCTCCCATGAAGAATACGCTTGTCTCACAAAAGTTTAAAACATTTTTCTTTGGACAACCCTATCCAGAAAGGCAAATGTTGACATGTTTTGACCTCTCAATGCTAATTTTAGTTATTTTTTAATGTTTTAAACTGTTTTTATTATTTTACTATCTCCTGTAAATCAATAAGTTCATACCACAATCGAGCAGGATATACATTTTTTCAGTTAAACAGAGAATAACCCCAAAAGGAGAATTTGGGGGGGGGGAGAATATAAAAGGAGGGCATATTCAAGGAGAACCGGGCTGTGGGGTGGGGCCCCATTTTTGTTTCTCAGGAGTTGTTTGTGCCCGTCGTGCACAAGGGGCAGTACAGAAATGGCACAGAGGAGCCCCCTGCATAATTTAGAAAACCTACATTTTTGACAGGCAACAGGAAAGGGGTTTTCTTGGTGGGAGAGTTACAACTGTAAAGCAGAAAAACCTGGGGATGAATGTGGCTGTGAAAGGGAACTCCTGAACAAAACAACATGGGGAATTGCGGGTGGGGACCCCTTATTCAGACGTTTACCCCGCAATGAAGTCAGCTCTACACGCGTCCAGCTCCCACCCCCAGGATGGTCTCCAGGGTTTTTAGAGCGGCTGTGAATTAGAGGGAAGGTAAAAAATAGAAGTCTCTCTCTCTCTCTCTCACACACACACACCAGAGTCTACACGAAGCTGCGGGGGGGGGGGGCGGGACAGGCGACTCACTCCCCCCCATTAATCCTGCCAACACCTTCAAGCTTTGTATCCTTTTTTGCTTGAGCCCCGAGCCCAGGAGTGAAGCGGCCCCTGCCCCGGGCGGCATACAAAACAAGCCAAGTCTGGGAAACAGATGTCTGGGATTATTTTCTCCCCCCGCCCCAGAGCAGAGTCCTTACCTGCGCAGTCCAGGAGCAGCAGCAGGTGGGCAGCCGCCCCCAGGATCAGGGGGGGCCAGCGGAGGAGGAGGACCCCCATCTCCCCCCAAAACGAAGCTCCGTTTCCTCCTCCCTCCGCCGCTCTGAGACCCGCTCTCTGCCCCGCCTGAGGAACCAGGTATTGGGCGAGGGGGAAATATTCCGCCAATCGGAAATCTGCGAGCAGATGGCGGCATCAGTCGCCGGGCAGAATTCGAGACACAAGTGGCGAGCGAGGCTGAAGAGGGAACGAGGAAGTGATTGCAGCTCCTCGCTGGGAATGGCCGCCTCCCTCCCTCCCTCCCCCCCCGGCAGCTCTTCCTGTCCTGCCCTGCAGGGAGGGCGGAGGGGGTTTCCCAGGGGAGGACCCCAGGTTCAGTCCCCGCATCTCCAGGGGGGTCTGGGATGCCCCCCTCTCTGAAACTGGGGGAGGGGCTGTGAGATCCCCAGGGAGATGCCCTCGTGGGCGGAGTCTGTAAAGCTGTCACTCAAGCCCAACATTCCCAGAGGACTAACTGCCTCTATGTGGCAGTTTGTCTGTTGGTCGGTTGCTGCTAGGAGTGGTAACTGGTAACTGCTCGGATGCAGAGAGGGAGGAAGGTCAGGTGGTACCCGGTGAGGAAAATTCATGTCACCCCTCCCCGATCCTCCACTGCCCCCTGCCGGCTGCTTTCTTCCCCAGCTGCAATGGAAATCAGGTGATTTCTAGGAAATCCTTCAAGGGACCAGTTGAAGCAACTCACGGGTTGCAAAAAAAATGGTCACGGTTCCCACATATGTCACAGCTTTGGAATCGGTGCAAGTGGGTGTATGCCTACCTATGGTGTGGAAAAGCAGAAATATATAAAAGTTTTACAAATCACGTAAAAGTGTAGGGAGAACTCACGTAAGCAGAAAAAACCTATTTAGAGTATGGGAAAAGTATAAAAACCTATTAGAAAGAAAACCCCACTGCGGATATCCCCAGTGGAAGCTACAACCAGGAAAAGAACAAATATGGATAAGCAGTGGTTAACTTACAGCTGAGGCTCCAATACTTTGGCCATCTCATAAGAGAAGAGAAGATTGGCTACAGGTTGTTAGGGAAATTCTGGGAGAGAGGATACTCGACAGTCCCAGCTGGTCGGGCAGAGCCCGTGGTTTCTCTCGGTCAGCAAAGGAAGGGGTCCCAGCCAGAAACCGGAGCAAAACAGTCGTCAGTAGACTTAGATAAAAGTTTATTGCGCAACAGGTTCAAACAACGGAATTAACCCCGAGAAAGAGGTGACATTGACTTTTAAAACTTTCCACCGCATCCCATAATAACAATAATAATAATAATAATTTATACCCCAGCCTGAGCCGGGCTCAGGGCGGCTAACACCAATAAAATCACAGTAAAAACATAATACGGGAAAAAGAGAGGGGGGAACAAACAAATTTAAAATACAGGTTCATTTTAAAATAACTGATAAATCAAGACCATAAGGGGAGGGAAACATAAGGGTCAGACCGAGTCCAAACCAAAGGCCAGGCAGAACAACTCTGTCTTGCAGGCCCTGCGGAAGGATGTCAAGTCCCGCAGGGTCCTAGATTCTGACCCCATCTTTCTTTGGACGCTAGTTCTTCAGTCACTTTACAAGGGAAGTACTATTATCGGCACCTCCCTGCCAGAGTCTGTGAATATTCTCAGGAACTTCAAAATCTCTGGAACTCCTGTGATAAGAAGGCAAGAACCACTAAAGACAAAGGGGGTGTACCCTTATTTATTTAAGTCAAACATATATTAACAAGTAAAAAAAAAAATACATCCAGTGTCTTCAAAGCAAGGTGCAGCAAATCCACTGGGTTAGGCAAGAAGAGTCCTGCGGCCCCTGGAGGTCTCCTTCCAGGCTTCCTCCTTGGCTGTCAGCAGGATCAGTCCCTCTCATCTCCTATAGGAGAGTCACTACACCCCATCCCCTCAGCCTCTCTACCTCTTTCTCAGTTCCCTGCTTCTCCATTTCCCCCTTCAGCTGCTTCTTCCTCCCCCTCCAGCCTGTTTCTCAACTCACTGCCCCAGAGCATCATGGGAGGCCCAGGGAGGAGCCCCAGAGAACGGCAGCTGGTTGTCCTGGACGTGGAGCTCCATGAACCAGGCTGGAGAACTGGAGCCTTGAAGGTATCGGGACAGAAAGAGGGTCTGGAGGAAACTGCCTCAGCAGCTGCCATTGCCACAGGGAGGGTCTGAATGCCCGCTGGAGCTCCTCATTCTCTGCTCTGCCTGAGGATGTTTGAAGAGAGGCCTCAACTCCAGCAGAGGTCACCTCTGGACCACTCTGGATCTAGTCAGACAGGACAGTGAGGTTCTGGGGATGCAGGAGGTGACCCAAGAGGGCGGGTGGTGGATGTCCCTCCCATCTGCAGGGGAACTGGAGCACGGCTCTTGCGTCAACACAGACAAAACCCCTCCATATCCAGATGTTGTAACTGGAGATGATGTCTTCCTTGGCTTCTACGGGATCAATGACCAACGTCTGTTCTTCATCTTCTGAGGGAGACTTGCAAGCTTCCAGATCAGAATCGGATCAAATTCTGACAGCCTCTCTTGTCTTCAGCCACTCTGTTCCTTCTCTCTTTCAGCTTCAACTCCTGAGCATCTAAGCATCCCTCCTCCCTGCCAACCATCCCTCCCTGCCAGTTTCTTCACCACCTCACACAGAAGGTGGGTGGAAAACACTCAGCCAGAGCAGTTAGGCTGCTTTTATACATTCCATGACGTAGCATCCGCTTAGCCAAAGGCTGGGCGGCCCAAGAGGCAGGTAGGCAGTAACAATTTTGCCTATTTCACGCATAATACACCTAAAGTAGTTCTCAAATGTTGACTTTCTTTCCATTTGGATGGAGAGTGAGTGACACAAGATTGGGGAAGGGCTTGTTGTGGGAGCCACAGCAACAAAAAACCATCATAATCACTACAAGTCGTGCTCAATCTCCTCATCCCTTTTAAAAGCTTTTAGTTTTGTATATTTGGCACATTTCTGATTAAAACAAACACATTTCTGCAAAGCAAATGTGCAAGCACATTTCTGCTGCAAATCAAAATTCACCAAAATCCATCAGAAAAACATGATCATCCTGAAATTCAGGTTACAGCTAATACAGCTGAGTCAGAATGGATGACTGAGAGCCAGGATTAAGGAACATCATAAACAGCATTTAAGGACGGGAGGGGATCTGAGCCTCTGCAATTCACAGCGAAACATGGGCAGACTCCCTCTGGTCTCATCTCACACACTGGGCTGGTACGAAGCTGCAGAAATAAACAAAAGGAGTGTTTCAAAGTTAAGCCAACATCATGGTGTAGGGGCATCAGCATTACAGAGCTAGTGGGAACCCAAAGGCCATCTAGTCCAGCCTCACCATCCCTCATCATGGAGGGGATCCACCATGGAGCTCAGACGGACACACGGAATGAGTCACAAGAGCTATTTCCAGCTCAATGGACACTCCAGATTATGTCACTCTTGGAAACACAGGAGTCAGGATCCCGGGGAGCAAGACCCCCCCCCAGCCCTTCTCTTACCTCCCTCTACCCCCATCCCAAATCAGTCTCAATCTGGGGAGGGGCCTAAGAAGACTTCAGGGACAGGCAGCCCAGAGGCAAGGGGGCTCAAGGACAGCACTGGAGGGAGAAGCAGGTGCTGGAGGGCAAAGAGAGATGGGCACAGCCTGGCATGGAGGCAGAGGGGGACTAGAGCGGGGGTGGGTGTGATCTGGGCAGGAAGGCAGAAGCGGGGGGAGAGAGCAGTGGTGGGTTCCTCCCCCCCCCCCAATTTTTTTTATTGGTTTTCCAAGGTTATAAGACAGAAAAAATAAAAAGCATATTTAAAAGAAAAGCAAACAAACATATAAAACATCTTACTATTAAACATCCAATTTGATTTCCATTGTTAAGTGACGTCCTCGAATCCTCCCTGAGTTTCATTAAATCTCATTGTAGCAATTTTCCAATATCCATTTTCTAATAAAATTAACTTATTCAAATTACTATCTTCCTTCCTTTTCATAGTATTCTCGATCCATAGTATTATACAATTCAATTTAATCCTAGGCCAATTTGGTACGTGCAAGTATTTCAGCTTGTGTTGTATTATAATATTTAACTAAATATTCCTTAAATTTCTTTCAATCTTCTTGATATTCCTCCTCTTTCTGATCACGGATTCTTCCAGTAAGGTCGGCCAGCTACAAAAAGTCCAACAACTTCATCTGCCAATCTTCCACTGTTGTTATTTATTGCGATTTCCAATTTTTGGCTAGCAAAAATCTCGCTGCAGTTGTGGCATACAAAAACAATCTAACATCTTTTTTGGGCAATTCCATTCCTATTATTCCAAGTAGAAAGGCTTCTGGTTTCTTAATAAATATATATTTCAACATTTTTTTCAGTTCATTATATATCTTTTCGCAGAAGTCTTTCACCTTTGGACATGTCCACCACATATGGTAAAAGGTACCTTCTTTTTCTTTATATTTCCAACATAAATTATCACTCGTATAATAGATCTTTGCTAATTTTACTGGGGTTAAGTACCATCTATACATCATTTTCATAATATTTTTCTTTAGCACCATACATGCAGTGAGCTTAACCCATTTCTTCCACAACCTTTCCCAATCTTCCATCATTATATTGTGACCAAAATCTCTTGCCCAATCTATCATCACAGATTTCACTTGTTCATCCTTTGTATGCCACTCCAACAATAAATTATACATCTTAGACAAATTTTTAACATTGGTATCTAACAACTCCGTTTCCAATTTGGTTGTTTTTCGTTGCAAAACCAAGCTTATATAATTCATTGATCTGATAATATTGAAGCCAATCCACTTTATCTTTGATTTGATCAAATGGTCTTAATTTAAATCCTTCATTATCCTCAAGCAAGAGATCAGAGTATCTCAACCATTTATTCTCCATATTTAACTTTTTTGCGCCTTAGCTTCCATTAGTGGAAGCCATCTGGGTGTTTTCCTTTCTAGGAGATCTTTATATCTTATCCAAAGGTTATATAATGATTTTCTAATTATATGATTTTTGAAACCTTCATGGGCCTTTATCTTATCATACCATAAATAAGCATGTCAACCAAATACATTGTCAAACCCCTCCAAATCAAGAACATCAGCATTATCTAATTGTATCCATTCCTTTACCCAGCAAAGAGCTGCAGCTTCAAAATATATCTTCAGATCTGGCAGGGAAAATCCCCCTCTTTCTTTCAAATTTGTAAGTAATTTATATTTAATTCTGGGTTTTTTCCCCTGCCAGATAAATTTAGACAAAGCTTTCCTGCCATTCTTTTAAACGTTTCACATTATCAATAATTGTTAGGGCTAGAAATAGAAACAACATCTTAGGCAATACATTCATCTTAACCACCGATATTTGGCCCATTAATGACAGTTTTAAATTTGACCAAAATTCAAGATCTCTCTTAATTTCATTCCATAGCTTTTCATAATTATCTTTATATAAGTTTAAATTATTCACAGATAAATTAACACCCAGATATTTAACTTTTTTCACAAAAAATAGGCCCGTTTTTTCTTGAAGAGTTTTTTTCTCAGTATCCAATCCCCCCCCCCCCCATACTTGGTTTTGCTCTTATTTAGCTTGAATCCTGCCACTTGCTCGAACTCCTGAATCAACTCCAGTGCTTTTACTGCACTGGGGTCTGGTTCTTGAAGCGTTAACACCAAATCGTCAGCAAAGGCTTTTATTTTATATTGTTTAGATCCTACTGTTATACTTTTAACTTGTTCCTCCCTCCTTAGCATACTTAACAGAACCTCCAGAACCGATATGAAAAGCAGAGGGGAAAGTCGGTACCCTTACCTGGTACCCTTTTCAATTCTAATTTCATCTGATACCACATTATTAATTATAATTTTTGCTTTTTGTTCATAATAGATCGCATTAATACCATTTAAAAAATCTTGTCCAACCCCAATACTTTATACATTTTTTCCCATAAATCTCCAAGACACATTATCAAAGGCCTTTTCTGCATCTATAAACATTAACATCGCTTTACAATTTTTTTAAACTTCCAACCTTTCCAAAACATCAATTATGTTCCTAATATTGTCTTTCATATGTCTTCCAGGCAGAAATCCTGCCTGGTCCTTGTGAATATAATCTGACAATACCTTCTTCAACCTGTTGGCCAAAATATTGGCAAAAATTTTGTAATCCACGTTAAGTAATGAGATTGGTCTGTAATTTTTTGCATTGGATCTATCTTGATCTTGTTTTGGTATCAGGGTTATAAAGGCCTCTTTCCAGGTTTTGGGTGCTTTGTCCCCTCTTAATATCTTGTTGCAAACTTCTACCAATGGCCGAATAAGCCAATCACCTTGTCCACCTCTTGCCATGTAATTAATCCATTAAGTAGGATCCTTTTGTTTTCGGGATTTTTTTTGCAGACCATTTACTTTGATAAATTGCTCGATTTTATCTTTATCTTCCTTACCATTTTTATACGGTTGTTTATAATATTTCTGAAAACATCTTCTTATCTCCACAGGGTTTTCCACAGACTTTCCTTCTGATACAATATTTGTGATGGTACTTTGTTTCTGTCTCTTTTTTTAACTGCCAAGCTAGCAGTTTTTCACATTTATTTGCAGATTCAAAATTCCTTTGTCTCATTGTTCTTAATTTCCATTCTATTTCTTGGTTTATAATCTGTGAATACTGGATCTGTAATGCTTTGCTTTCCTTTTGTATCTGCAGGTTCTTTGGATTACTTCTCAAATTCTTCTCCTTATCTTTTAGTTGTATCAAAATCTTATCTTTTTTCCTCATTCTGTATCTTTCTCCTGACTGAGTTTTGTTGTATGAGGAATCCTCTCATTACTGCCTTACTTGTGTCCCATCTTGTTTCCATCTCTGAATTCATATTTATCTCAAAGTAGTCTTTTAGAGTCTTTTGGGCCTTGCTGATTATTTGCTTTTTCCTCAGCAAATCATCATTCATTCTCCATCTGTAGGATCCCTGCAGGGATAATTTCATTTCCATAGACACTGCATTGTGATCTGAGCAAGTTTTGGGGCAAATTTCCATTTTGGTTACTCTGGGAACCAAGTATCTGGATATCCATAGATAATCAATTCTGTAGAATGATAGCTTTGCATCTGAATAGAATGTGAAGTCTTTTTCAGTTGGATTTCTAATTCTCCATATATCTGACAGATCAAATTTGTCTATGATATCAAAGAGTCTTTGGTAATCTGCCAGCATTCATGATTTTCTGTCTCTGTGTCCTATCCATTAATGTTGATGCAACTCCATACAGATCACCCATTAAGATTAATTTGTAATCCAAATAGTCCAGAAGTCTTGTTTCCAAATTCTTAAAAAAATCTGCTTTGCCATCATTTGGTGCATAAATTCTCAACAATCAATATTTTTCACCTTGTGCATTAATCTCAACTGTAATGTATCTTCCCTCCTCGTGTTTAAATATCAATTTTGGATTCCATTTTTCTTTAACATAAAAAAGCACTCCTCTTTTTTTAACTGTCTGAAGAAATCAATTCCTGTCCAAGTTTTTTCTTCTGAAGAATTTTTCTATGTAATCTAATAACATGGGTTTCTTGTAGACAAATTATATCCAAATTCTGTTTTGCTAGCACGTGATAAATCTGGTTCCTTTTTCGTCGAGAATTTAGTCCATTAACATTCCAAGAGTAAATTCTCAGAGCCATCTTTTTGTATTAAGGGGCCACTGCCCCTGCCCCCGGTGGCTGTGGACTTTCCAATCCAAGTTCAACTGTGTATTTTTCCAAGAACCTTTCCTTTTCTCCAACAGTCTTGATTCTTTGTTTTCTTCCCTCATATTTAAAAGAGAGACCTTCCGGGAATTCCCACCTGAAAAAAATGCTTTTCCTTCTTAAGGTGCCTGCAAGATCTGTGTAGTTGCTTCTCAGGTTCAAAAAATGTTTTGGGATCTCCTTAAATAAAACATTTGATTTATCCTTGATCTTTAGGCATTTTTTGTAATGAAGGCCCAAAATATTATCCCTTTGTTCCTTGGTCTTAAAAACTACTATGCAATCATGTGTAATTTTAGAGTCTTTTTAAGGTCCAAATCTACAGACCTTTTCAATCCAAGAAGTTAACTTGTCTTTTTGGAGATCCCAACACGCAACAAATTGATCAATTAGCCAATCTTTGAGATTATTCTGTTCTAGTTGGGGTGCACCTCTCACTCTTAATTGGGTTTCCTGTTCTTACATCTGAAGAAAAGCTATTGCATTGGAATTTTCATACTGTAATCTCTCAACATCAGGGACTCTGTCTCTAATTGCGTCACTCTTGTTTAATGACCTGTCTTAACCTCTTTCAGTTCAGTTCTCAGGTCAGCAAAGTCTTGTCTCAGTTCTTATATACTCTGCTGGTTTCCTTGCACCTCTGCTTTAATTTCAGTAAGTAATTGCATCACATTTTCCTCAAAGATAACAGCCCTAGAGCCCTGTCTTGGCTTGGTCTTATCTATCTTCTCTCCCTTCTCTCCATTCATAACTGCACAACAGTTTCAAGGTCAGTCACACACTCAAATCAGAGAGAAAGGCGGGGGGGGAAGGTTTCCCACCGCAGCCCCCTACAGGCAGTTCAGCAGCTTCCCTCTTCCTTTTTACTCTTTCAAGTATTTATTAAATATTCCTCAGAGTTTCTTTGCACTTTAAACTTACTCACAGAGGGTGAAAGGTACCTTTTATATTATAATATCCAGTTCAGGCGGCTGTATCCACCAGAAAGGAAAACGAAAGTTGAAGATTTCCTCTCCCCCCCTTGTGACATCACAATGGAATCTAGCCTTCCCCTGCCAGGAGGTCCGCTTCAGAAAGAGTCTCTTTTCAAACAAATCTCATACACTCTTTGTTAAATAAATGTTTTACCCCCCTTCCCCCTGCTAGAAGCGGGGATTTTACAGTTCTACTTGGAAGTTTTCTGAATGTTTTTTCAGCTAATGGCTTTGGTCAGCAGGAACTGCTTTCACTTTTAAATAAGCGCAGAGGGGTTGACCTCCGTATTTAGATTACTTCCATTCTAATTTTGACAGTTTGAATTGTTGTGGTTCTGGACAGTTAAGAGCTAACACTCCAGGAGTGTTCTTGTTCACTGGGTGCACTGGCCACATGACCTGGGCATTTTTCCTTTGATCTGTGCTCTTCGGGGGCTGCTGAGAGCAGTCTGTCTGAGAATGTGAATGAGGTAGTTTCGTTTTTGTAAGAGACAGAAAGCTGCAAGCATGCAGCTAGATTCTGTAGGTTTTGCTTTTGGTTTTGTATGCTTCTAAATAAACAGTGATAGACTAGAAGCACTGGTGTTGAGCTGAGTTATTGAAGACACCACGCAGACACAGACAAAGCCATTTTACGCTGCATGTGAACTCTGCTACTATCCGACAACTGAGAAGAGAGGCAGCCCGAGAGTGGAAGCATGTGGGCACCATTGAAGTGTCAGATTGCTCGCAAATCAGATTTATTGCAGTGCCGATGCAGCAGACCTCGTGGGTCAAAGGATTTACGACCCACAAGCTTTAACACGAATTAAATCTCTTTTTTCTTTACTCACGATTTCCAATTTTTATTTTTGACAGAGAAATTGGCTGCTCACGATCACCAGACTCGGAGATTCGCGCTGAGAAGGAATTGAGTCATAGAATCATAGAATCATAGAGTTGGAAGAGACCACAAGGGCCATCGAGTCCAACCCCCTGCCAAGCAGGAAACACCATCAGAGCACTCCTGACATATGGTTGTCAAGCCTCTGCTTAAAGACCCCCAAAGAAGGAGACTCCACCACACTCCTTGGCAGCAAATTCCACTGTCAAACAGCTCTTACTGTCAGGAAGTTCTTCCTAATGTTTAGGTGGAATCTTCTTTCTTGTAGTTTGGATCCATTGCTCCGTGTCCGCTTCTCTGGAGCAGCAGAAAACAACCTTTCTCCCTCCTCTATGTGACATCCTTTTATATATTTGAACATGGCTACCATATCACCCCTTAACCTCCTCTTCTCCAGGCTAAACATGCCCAGCTCCCTTAGCCGTTCCTCATAAGGCATCGTTTCCAGGCCTTTGACCATTTTGGTTGCCCTCCTCTGGACACGTTCCAGTTTGTCAGTCGATTCCACAGTGCCCACATCTCTGACCCCACTCGCGCTCGGGGCTGTTATTAGAGCTTACCGGTGAGTGGGGGAGTTGCCAGGGGCACCCGCCGGAACACCAAGCCCTCAGAATGTGCGATCTGAGGTTTTTTTCAGGGTACCGCGTCGCTGTTGTGGTCACCCCTACCTTCACAGTGCTGGGGCTCTTTCAGCCGAAAGAGCTCCCATCCGCCATTAATCGGGCGACCAACCGGAAGTCAGTGGTAGATTCCTGACATCCACAACTTGAGCCAACCAACCAACCAAATCTTTAGCTTCAGGTTCCAGTAAATTAAACCACCAGAGATCTCTCTCTCTCCACACCCTTGGCTCTTCCTCCTGCTGCTGGTTGGAGCCCCTCCCTTAGCCAACAGTTTTCCTGCACCCTTTTCCTGGCCCTGAGGGACCCCTTGCTGTCCACAGACTGGCTGAGCAGACAGGCTTAAGCTTCCCATCAGGGTCTTGGGCTTAAGGACTAGGACATCACCAGGTTTAGTTTTGTCTGTTTGTAACCTGTTACTGCTCCATATTGGAGGAAATAAGACAAACAGAGAGAAGGGAGGAGTCACTCACTTGAGGCTGCTTTGTAGGCTAATTTCTTGCTCCGTTTACCTGTAGAGACAAAAGCAGAGACAAAGGTCAGAGCTGGAAGGAACCTCTAGAGGCCACACAATCCCATTTCGACCATTTGGTTACCCAGCAGATGCTCCTCTTGTCTCTTCCAAACACCTCAAAGGAAGGTGAGCACAGAAGGTTAGCTTTTCAAGGAACTCATGTGACAAAGAAGTAGAAAAAAGTGGGAAAATTAAATTAAAGAATTAACACGGAAACCAGGCAGTGGACAAATTCCAAGAGGCTGGAAGGAAACATAATCCAGTCCCTTCACTCATTCCTTTTTGGATTATTATTTCACTCCCAGCAGACCCCTAATCCTCAAACTTGCCCAGAGGTGGTTGGTTGAAGAGATAATGAACTTTAACAGTGCAATTCTAGGCAGGTCTACTCAGAGGAACATCCTATTCAGTTCAATACAGCGTCCACCCAGATCAATATTGATTGATTGATTGAATTTGTATACTACCCTTCATCTGAAGACGGCAGGGCCAATCACAACATACAAATACAAAATGAGAGCACAAAATACATAATAAAACAAAAACAAACCAGTAACTCACATTTAAAAGGCCCAAGGCCTGGTTCAAGAGAAACGTTTTTGCCTGGCGCCTAAAGATTTGTAAGGAAGGCTCCCTGCTAAGTGTGTACAGGACTGAAGACTTAGGACTGATTAAAACATTGGGTGGAAAGTGAACTTCCTGAGCCCAAAGTGAGCACAAAGGAATGGCCAACAGGACTTTGGGTGGGTTCATGTTCAAACGGTGTTTTATGGGGAACGGTGTCTGTAGGGATGCCAGCGGCAGATACCAGGAATACTCCACCAGCACATTCCCAGTCGGAGGGCGAGACACAAGGACACAGGAGAGGCAGCAAATGCATCCAGGGTTTACTTACTGCGGATGATGAAGACGATGATTCCAGAGACCAGCAGGATGGCAGCCATGACACCCAGAATGGTTCCCAAGAGACCCAGATTGACTAAAAGGGGACAAGAGACATTTTTATTCAGACTGGCGGCAGCAGCTCCCCAAGGCCTCAAGCAGGAGATTGGAGTGGAGGTGCTGAGCTATGAGCCCAGGAGGATTTTACGTATGCAAAGCAGTCACTCTCTCTCTCCTGACAGGCCAAGGTCCTCTCTGTAGTGGCCCCGATACAAGGGAGTTTATTTTTTCCACCAGAGTTCAGCATTAGAGGTCTTAAAACCCCCAATTTATTTAAGGAAGACAGTTGACAGGCACACCTGCTTCATCACAGACTCAAGACTTAAAAAGCAGATCTCCTCCTGCTCAGGCGCTTCAGCCTTCTCTGTCCTGACCCTGAGAGGAAGGGGTTCCCTCCCCTCTGAGACCCCCCTCTGAGAACCCAGCATTACAGGTCTTCAGGGAAGACACAAACCCTTAGGAAGAAGCATCTGGGTGTGGATGTGCATGTGTTTATGGGCTCCTGCTGGGAAAGAGGGAGTTTTGCTGCTAGACATTCTGCATGACTTCCTGAAGGTGCAGGTTTCCTGGAAGCGTGTGTGAGACGAGTGTTGTTATGAAAAAAACCCTACTTGCTCTTCCCAGCAGTTTTTTGGGCTGAGTAGGGATGAATATCAGTTTTTCTAGCTGGGCGCAAGTGTGAGGAGGAGCGAGTGAGAATCTTTTTCACTGTGAAGTACAGTCAGTCAGGGGCTCCCTCTTTTAAGCTCACAGCCCCTTTTTCAGCCGCAGTGAGTGTGCATAAGTCAGCCATGTGGAGGTTGTTTCATTTGTTTTTCTAGATTACCTAAGCGAGTGTCACAGCCACATTGTTGATTCCCCTCAGGTCATTTGTTATCGTGCCGCAAATAACCAGAAGTGAGGGTGGCGACCATCTTCCAAACCTCTTTGGTGCCGATAAATACTAAAGGAAGCATTGGAATTTTGTCACTGCATCGAAAACAGCTGGCAGTGTAGGTGGCAGCCATCTTAACACACCTTCTGTGCCTAAAAAAATGCGTGAAGAAGCCACTTTAACCCTCTTTACTGCCTGTAGCAATTTTAACTGAAGTGTTAGGGAGAATTGTTTTCCCCTTATCTCTTTAGCCAAACCATTGAAGTTCATAGTTACAATAAACACAGAAAAAAATTATAATTAATAAAAGCAAATAATAATAATAATAATAATATATAATATAATATAATATAATATTATATAATATAATAATAACAATAATTATTATTATTATAATAACAGTAAGAGCTGTTCGACAGTGGAATTTGCTGCCAAGGAGTGTGGTGGAGTCTCCTTCTTTGGAGGTCTTTAAGCAGAGGCTTGACAACCATATGTCAGGAGTGCTCTGATGGTGTTTCCTGCTTGGCAGGGGGTTGGACTCGATGGCCCTTGGGGTCTCTTCCAACTCTATGATTCTATGATTCTAATTTTTATTTATATCCCGCCCTCCCCAGCTGAAGCCGGGCTCAGGGCGGCTTACAACAAAAAACAAATAAATAAATTGATAATTAATCAAAAATTGATAATTAATCAAAGCAAATAAATAATCAAAAATTTTATTGTTGAAATGAACATTGTACTAGCAATATATTACAGCTTCTATAGCCTACATACATAGCTGTCAACTTTTCCCTTTTCTTGTGAGGAATCCTATTCAGAATAAGGGAAAAGTTGACAGCTATGCCTATATATAGTGGGGGTATTTAAAATGAGTGTCAACATAGCAGTCGTTAAAAGTAGAAGTTGGCAAATGAGTCTCTTGGATATCTGCCTGTCCGGTACGTCTCCCTGCGCAAAATCTCTGTGGAAAACTTTGTCAGGCAGCAGCAGAGTTGAGCAGCGGTTGCCTCCGTGTGAGAAGAAGGAAGGAAAAAGTCCACACACTCACTGTTCTTTCTCTCTAGCAGCGTTTATTTACAAGCAAAACTTCCACCTGAACTTGAGCACATCTTGCGCTCTCGCTCTTCGCTCTCTCAGCGAAAAGTGAAAGTACACTTCACACAGACAAAGAACTGCAGCTTCCATTTGAAGCTCCTCCCCAGATACAGGACACTCGGAAAGTTTAACCCTTAACCACCACACTCCAGAGTCCTCTTTTTGCTCTTTTTTTGCTCTTCAAAATATGGCAACCCTAACACCAGACCTTTGAAATGCAAGGAGGTCCCAAGGAGAGAGGATAACCAAAAATGCCCCGCAAACAACCCTCATCTCCTCCCAAGGTCCCCACAAGTCCCTATAGAGATGAAATCTTTCCACAGATGGATGCCATAATAAAGTTTTATTCCACACACTGTGCTGACACATTTGATTTTGAAGAAGTAAAATATCTGCCCACATTCTGTGACATCACAACTGCTTGGACTTAAAGGCCAAAAGGTGTCGGCCAGTTTTTACCTACAACATCCAATTTGAGTTTAAGGCCTATGAGACCCTTGTCAGAAAAGGCTGCATCTCTGTCAAAATCTACAGATTCTGCTTCCCTCCAGAGACACAGGCAGGATCCAGCTGGGGTTCCCCATCTGAGGAGTTGGGTGGAAATCCCCCTCCCAGAGCCCACCCCTTCCCCTCCTGTCTGTCTGTCTGTCTGTCTCTCACCAGGCTCCTTCTCCCAGGCCACGTCCAGAGGCTTCTCCAGGCTGTCATGCTCCACGCGGCACCGGAAGCGCTCCCTCTCCTCGGGGTCGATCTGGACACTGAGCAAGAGATAGTAGGTCCCGTCCGAGTTGGGGGCGACCAATCCTCGGAGGGTGCCCTCCTGCCAGACCTCCCCGTCCTTCACCCAGTTGGCCTCAATCTCCTTGGGGTAGAAGCCGTGGACTTGGCAAACGAGGGTCTCCAGGCCGTCATAGTCTGCCTTCCTGGTCACCTTCACCACCGGAGCCTCTGCAAAAATTGAAGCACTGGAGGTAAAAGATATCGACACCCACAACGAAAGCCTGGATGACTCCTGTATATTTTTAGAGCAGACCTAAGGAGCCACCTAGGCCTGCTTTCCAGAGTGTCAGAATCTGCTCACATCCACAGAAATTAAAAAGAAGTGCAAATAAATGTGATTCCTCAGCCTCCCTTGGCATCTTCCCCAGTTAGTGTCTATGGCGGAACTGTTTTTAGATGTTTTATCCTTTGGTTGCCAAAGCAGACTCCTTTGGGAGGGAGGACTGGTCACAAATTAATTTGTCATCTTGCAAAGCTCTAACACTACTCAAATATGACAACTGGCACACTTCTTCAGATACACTGAAACAGAAGTCACCAGACCCTTATATATAGTGAGAGGGTGGGGAGGGGTATTACTCAAAAGGGTGGTAGGTGATTGGCTGATAGGTGCACCCTCTGGGTCTGGTGACTTCTGTTTTAGTGTATCTGAAGAAGTGTGAAGTGTGCATGCACACGACAGCTCATGCCAATAACGAACATAATTGGTCTCTAAGGTGCTACTGAAAGGAATTTTTTCCATTTTGTTTTGACTACGGCAGACCAACACAGCTACCTGCCTGTAATTAATTTTCACTTTAACAGAACTAGTAAGAGAGAGACAGGACCCCTTGCTCCTCTTGGCTGATCTGACTTTCCCTCCCCATCTGCAGCAGATCCATCACGACAGGAAGCAACTTCAAGGATACCAACTAAACTCCTCAGTGTGGACTACATAGCCAGCAAAAGTGATACAGATGCACTCGGAATTTCTAAATCTTTTGTAGGATGCAGGGTTTTGTTTTTCAAAAGCGAAACCGACCACTGTTACATCTGCTCCAACAGTCTCTACTCTCTCCCTGTGTGCTGCGTGCAATCCTTTGTCCCCTTACCTGGGAGTAAGCAGGGACACCTTCTGAAGGCGCTATGGACTTGGACAAGTGTTCTGCTCAAGTGTCCACTGTTTCCTTTTCAAGGGAGGAGATGGGGGCCTGGGGGTTGGTCATGTGACCTCCCAGGGGCCCCACTTTGTCTAGGTTCCTCTGCTGGACCTTAACTTCCCAGTCCTGGGGGACACAGAGGGAGGTCCTTGGTCAGGCTCTGCTTCCTAAGGGGAAGGATGGATTTCGTTCTCAATATAGGGCAGGATTCCCATGAGCTGGATTCTCAGCCCCCCCCATTGTGTAATAGTCCATCCTAGTCAAAACACTTGATGGTGTGATTGAAACCCTGGGCCAGATTCCTGAAGAGTGGACTGTACCATTTCAAGGCACAGGGTTGGGTAAGAAGACACTTCTGAATGTTCCCCATGGAAAAATATTCTTCACAAATAATAAATATAGAAAGGTAGAACAGGGAATTCCCATAGTCTCTCACTATGTGCAGGTTTTCTCCTTCTAGGCCACAAGTGGCTAACCTACAGTATTAATGAGAGGGCTGCATCCTGCCCTCTAATACATATTTATGGGCTCCCCAAACATTTTCTATTCTTTAAAAAAGGTTAATTTCTTTAGTTTTAAAGACTTTTCAAATAGGCACATACCCTAGTGTAAAGCCAAAAGGTTTTCTGTTTCCCCCTCAAATCTGTCCATTTTAATTTTGTTTCCCCCCCCTCCTTAAAACGCATTTTGCTTTACTGACCACTTTCCTGCTCTTTCTTTGTGTCCCCTCCCCCCATTTGTCTTTTGCCATCCCTCGGTCCCAGCTCCTGCCAACCTAGCAGTTCAAAAGCACGTCAGAGTGCAAGTAGATAAATAGGTACCGCTCTGGCGGGAAGGTAAACGGCGTTTCCGTGCGCTGCTCTGGTTCGCCAGAAGCGGCTTTGTCATGCTGGCCACATGACCCGGAAGCTGTATGCCGGCTCCCTCGGCCAATAAAGCGAGATGAGCGCCGCAACCCCAGAGTCGGCCACGACTGGACCTAATGGTCAGGGGTCCCTTTACCTTTTTATTCTAGCCAAAGGGGCATGGGGGGTGTTTTTAAGCATCTCCTCCCCCATCATACTCTGAAGTAATCCCTTTTCTCCTCCCAGAGTCCCAAACTTATTTCTGCCACTACCACCAAGAAAAGTGTTTGCTTTTTGATCCAGAAAGGAAGATTGTAAAGGGGGGGAGGGGAGCTTGAAGGGAAACTGCCCCACTGAGCCCTCCTCCCCTCCCCACTGCCCCCCCTCACCTGTCCTCAGCAGAGTCTCCTTCCCATAGTCCAGGTATTTCTGCAGCCACACAATGCACTCCTCCTCCAGGTAGGCTTTCTGGTACTGATTCCCAGCCAAGTCAGAATCCCACTTCCTCTTGCTCACTTGGGCCCCTGTATCAGCTGCCGTCCAGGTGAGGGTCTCCTTGTCAAAGGCAATGAAGTCCCTCCTGTCATAGCCGTATTGCAAATATCCTCCTTTGCACCCGTCTGACCTCAGCTCACAGCCGTACATCAGCTGATAGGTGTGGATCCCTGGAAGGACCAAAAGAGGCCCAGGAGGTCAGGGGGGGTCAGAGCAGCCCCTCCCCCATCAGCAAAAGAGCTCAGGAAACAGGATTTATTTGCCTCAGACTCAGGGAAGAGGCAGCAGTCAGGGGGGAGAAAAATCAACCAGCATTATATCTTTCTGAAGGCTCATCCGCAGAACACGTTTACTGAGTGGAAACACTACAATGCTGAGCCTATAAAGCCCCCCTTTAATTGCCCCCCTCACTCTCATCGCCCCACACTCCCCCCCCCCAATTCCCAGTGGATTCTCCCAACTCCCTGGAGGCGGGGGAGGGGTGGGGTTTCCCTTCCTGCCCAAGAGGAGCATCCCTTGCAGGTCGGAGGTCACAGTCTGTCCCTCTTTTCCCCCCAGCTCTGCTCCTCTGGATCTTGCCCTCAGATGCCCCCGTCCCGTCCCCAGAAAGAAGGGGCAACATGGAAGGGGTACACCCACACATTGGGGGCCCTTTTGAGAGAGAAGGTCTCCTCTTCCCCTCCATCTCTCTCCCCCCAGCTTCTCCATATCAAGGACCTTTTCCCTAAAAGGAGGAAAGTCCTGGAAGGGCCTTCGGAAAAAGAAGTTTCCTCATAGTCTGGGTGGGAAGGGAAGCCGCAAGGGGGGGTTGCCCCACTTCAAAATGCCCCCCCTTCCCAGCAGAACCCAGACTGCTCTTGTCAAAGATGGCAGGTCTCTGCATTCTCCTGCCCACCCCAGGGGGCTACCACCAAATCTTCAAAACAACAACATTAAAACAACATTTTGAAGTCCCACAATCCTTAAATTGGACAGATCATTTTGATTCTCCCATTACATATTGCAGTGTGAAGTGAAGGACATGAGGCAGGAGTTGGTAATGCAGGTGAGCTGCAAGCAAGCTGCCACCCAGCTCTGTGGAGACTCCTTTTATTGACACAATATGCAAACCCAGGCAGATACATTTTGGGCGGTGACCTTTACACGTCTTCCAGTACCGAGATAGTGGGGTGGTACAAAGCTATTTTGGCACCCGTTTCCACCACGTCATTTTCCCCTTGCACAGTAGGTGACGAAGGAGACAAAGGTCTCAGAGAGAAAGGTTACAGACACTGCAGACTACTGAGACCTCAAAAGGTTAGACAAAGGCAAGATGTTCAGACAGCTGTGGCTTTATCTGTGAGGGGGAGTGTGCCCCGCACCCCAAGGTCACGCGTGCAGGCAGACTGTGACTGTCTGCGGGTGGGGAGTGTGCTCCGCACCCAGCGATCATCCCTACATTTCCCCTTTTCTATCTATCTGAGCATAGGTCCCGAGTCCACCAGTGCGCTGTGTATGTAGCCGGGCATACTCCAAATTGGAGGAGTTCATAATGCCGGGAGCAAGACGTCGAACCCGAATGTGATCAGAAGCAGAGAGGGCCATGACACAGGGACCAGGGCGAACTTTGCAGAGCTGTAAAACAGTGGGAGTACATTGTATTGTTGTTGTTTAGTCGTTTATAGTCGTGTCCGACTCTTCGTGACCCCATGGACCAGAGCATGCCAGGCACTCCTGTCTTCCACTGCCTCCCGCAGTTTGGTCAAACTCATGCTGGTAGATTCGAGAACACTATCCAACCATCTCGTCCTCCGTCGTCCCCTTCACCTTGTGCACTCCATCTTTCCCAACATCAGGGTCTTTTCCAGGGAGTCTTCTCTTCTCATGAGGTGGCCAAAGTATTGGAGCCTCAGCTTCACGATCTGTCCTTCCAGTGAGCACTCAGGGCTGATTTCTTTCAGAATGGATAGGTTTGATCTTCTTGCAGTCCATGGAACTCTCAAGAGTCTCCTCCAGCACCATAATTCAAAAGCATCAATTCTTCGGCGATCAGCCTTCTTTATGGTCCAGCTCTCACTTCCATACATCACTACTGGGAAAACCATAGCTTTTACTATACGGACCTTTGTTGGCAAGGTGATGTCTCTACTTTTTAAGATGCTGTCTAGGTTTGTCATCGCTTTTCTCCCAAGAAGCAGGTGTCTTAATTTCATGACTGCTGTCACCATCTGCAGTGATCAGGGAGCCCAAAAAATTAAAATCTCTCACTGCCTCCATTTCTTTCCCTTCTATTTGCCAGGAGGTGATGGGACCAGTGGCCATGATCTTCGTTTTTTTTATGTTAAGCTTCAGACCATATTTTGCGCTCTCCTCTTTCACCCTCATTAAAAGGTTCTTTAATTCCTCCTCATTTTCTGCCATCAAGGTTGTGTCATCTGCATATCTGAGGTTGTTGATATTTCTTCCGGCAATCTTAATTCCGGCTAGGGATTCATCCAGCCCAGCCTTTCGCATGATGAATCCAGGTTCCTATGCAATATTTTTCTTTACAGCATTGGACTTTCCTTTCGCTTCCAGGCATATCCGCAACTCTGTGGCGAAGGGGCTTGAATAACTCAGAGAAGCTATGAACTATGCCGAGCAGGGCACCCAAGATGAACAGGTCATAGTGGAGAGTTCTGACCAAACGTGATCCACCTGGAGGAGGAACCGGCAAGCCACTCCTGTATCCCTGCCAAGAAAACTCATGGACAAGTAGATCCAGAGCTGATGAAGCGGCTGAGCCAAAGCCGAAAGGACGCTCAGTACATTGTATACAAGACAGCAAATAAGGCAGGCTAGAATCATAACAGCATGGGTGAAGATGTGTTTGAGCCATAGAAGATCAGGAAGTCAGCTAGTGAGCCAGTTGCACAGTTCAAGGCCTTCATTGGCAAAAGCAGGCATGGCATGAAAAGAAACAGCATGGAGTTGGCAGTAAGCTGGGAAAATATATGGCAGCAATTAGTGAGTCTGGAGTCTCTGGATGTTCAGGCTTGAGGGAGCTGATGTTGTCCAGCGGGAACAAGGGCTTGATGTCACCCCAAGTGACTGAAGCAACTTCTTTGCAGTCTGCACCTGGCAGTACTACGTCTCTCTCGGGTGGTGCTTTACTGGCATCCCCTGTAGGAAGCTGGAAGTTTGGAGTTGGTCAGGCCATGATGCCAGAGCATGCTGGAGAGCGAGTCGCACACACCGAACTGGAACTCACAACAGACCTGTAGGGGTAGAAATAAAGCAGATCCGGTAGCTGTTGATAAAAAAGGTTGTTAGCTCAAGGTCCTTGGATTTGTGGAGATGTCTGTCTGCTGGTGCAAGCCTGACTGAATCAAAAGTAAGATGGTTAAATGAAACAGCAAAGTGTTTCATTTACACTGGATTTTGCCTAGGGTCTTGAACTTCTCCCCATTTCCTAATTGTTTTCAAGGAGCAAGTGGTCCACTCCACACTTGTTTAACTTGTGGAATTACAAGGACTACTGTGGGTAAGAGAACTATCCCACTGGAGGCAGGATTGCTGGGAAAGCTGGGAACAAGAAGCAGAAACAAAATCAGCTCTCAGGCATTTGGCCTGACCCATGACAGCAATGCAAGCAATCATGTGCTATATAACCTTTTGAGTTGTTGCTCAAATGAGCCCTGAAAAAGTTTCAACTGTGACATGGACTGTGGATTTTGGTTTAAAATGCACAGCCCCTTGGCCACAACTGCGGTGCTTCTAAGATTCACAGCATGTGGAACTTCCTGTGAGGTCATGGAGCAATGGGTCAAGTCTCAATCACGATACACCTATACCTTCAACACTGTTTTTAAATAGAATCAGATAACATTTCCAGGGGTGGCCTCTCCTGGGGTTTTAGAGACGTACAGAGATTGTCCTATTAGTACCGATAAGACTATTTATGCCAAAAGAATTTATATGTGATAAAAATAGGGAGGATCTATTAGCAGTATTTGAAAATAACCCCGTTATTCTCGAACCTTTGGCTAACCAAAATTCGATGCCTCTGGCAGACATTGATTATTATTATAATATTATTATTCAGGAATTATTTTCTTCTTTTTTAAATCTCCAGTTCAGCAACAAACCTTTAAATAAGTATAACTGGTTTGATAAAGAAGGTATCAACCATAAGAAAGAACTCAGAACTTGTCTAAAAGAAGCCTCTATCACTAACTCCCAAGGTCTCTGGAAGACTTATTTTGAAATGAAAAACGCTTTTAAGAACATGCTCCGGGGGGAAAAATTGTGTTTTCACAAGCCAAATTGTCCAAAATTGTTACTGCATTAGAAATTAAAGATACCAAAACCTTTTGGTCACACCTTTCAATAAAAACTACCACTGATTTCCCTAATATGATGAAGCTTGGATTACGCATTTTACCGCTGTTTTCTATGATTCCCAAGTTTTTAAGAAGGAAAATTTTAAATCTTCTTTGGCAATGACCACACACTTTCAAATTACTGTTGAGGAGATGATTCTTTTGTTTAAGCAAGGAAAATCTCAATAGACCTGTTGAGATTAAGTGTGGAATGGTGGGCCATTAAGCTTTAACTCTATCACTCAGTCCTTGTACCAAAACCGTGGAATAACTCAATAGTGGTGCCGATTTTTAAAAAAGGTGATAGGAATTGCCAAGAGAATTACAGGCCTATTAGTTTGTTACCATGCATAAGTAAAATGTATGCCAAATCCCTGCTTATTAAACTGGAAGAATGGATGCTTACAAAAGGTCTACCTGGTAAGGAACAAGCTGGTTTCAAGGCAGGCTCTTCAACTCTTGACCAGTGTCTAGTGTTATGTCATCTTGTGGACAAATATGTCTTGTAGATATTAAAAGTGCCTTTGATTTGGTTGATCATAATAAACTGTGGGGGACGCAGGTGGCGCTGTGGGTTAAAGCCTCAGCACCTAGGACTTGCCAATCGAAAGGTCGGCGGTTCGAATCCCTGCGGCGGGGTGCGCTCCTGTCGTTCGGTCCCAGCGCCTGCCAACCTAGCAGTTCGAAAGCACCCCCGGGTGCAAGTAGATAAATAGGGACCGCTTACTAGCGGGAAGGTAAACGGTGTTTCCGTGTGCGGCTCTGGCTCGCCAGAGCAGCGATGTCACGCTGGCCACGTGACCCCGGAAGTGTCTCCGGACAGCACTGGC